TTCATTCTTTTCATTCATGTCATTCTTTTCAGTCTTATTTCATTCTTTTCATAACATTTTGGGCTTTTCATTCTTTTTCATAGCATTTTTTGGGCTTTTCATTCTTGTCATTCTTTTTGTATTTGGGCTTTTCATTCTTTGTAATTCTTTTCATTCTTAATTCATTCTTTTCATAATATATTTGGACTTTTCATTCTTTTCATTCATGTCATTCTTTTTATTCTTTTCATATTTGGACTTTTCTTTCTTATTTCATTTTTGCCATAACATTTTTGGGCTTTTCATTCTTTTTGTAACATTTTTGGGCTTATTTGATAATCTGATAATTTAGTCAATTTTTTTTTGTCATCTTTTCACCCCATGCAAAGCAATAAAGCTGCCTACACCCGGGGTTACTGAGTGTAAAAGAATATAAGAAAAACATCATTAAGGAGCAAGAACAATAAAAGGACAGAAATTAAGAAGATAGAAGATAACGACTGACATTGCATTTAAATTTTTGAAATAATGTGAGATAAGAAACTTTTAGCATAGAACTTATTGTTATTTAATATATAAAATAATATCATCTTTGATTTATTTTCTTTCATGTAAGAATGATTAGCTACATTTGGACTAATGTCCTCATCTTTCAATATCTGTCTATATTTTTGAGATGAGGTATTGTAAGTATTTACACTATTTGCATTGTTTGAACTGTTGTCCTCATCTTTGTTGTCATATGACATTTTGGCCATTGTACACTCTGGCCTTCTTCAGGTGATTGGAATTTGGAACCAAACCATTTATTTTGCCCACCAGGGAATATTATTTTATTTCCATGTACCATGATTCTTCTGGATTTTCAGTTTCTGTTATTTCCCTTTAGGCCACAAAAATCTCCTAAGCCGGCCAAGCATAGACATGAATATGGGAACCAGTAATACAGGGAGTTAGAGAAAAACAATAACAACAAATTGTAATATGAACTCTGGTAAAAAAAATTTATACTGTGTCATTAGGTTTATAAATTCCCCAAATTGTCCCAAAGGATACATGGCCCAGTGGTTAAAAGCATTGTTTGAATTAATCCAAAAATAACTTGACACAAAGAGTTGTGAGTTCAATACCTGGCTACAGCAGAGGTAAAAAAAAAACTTGGAGAGTTGAGTTACTAAAGGGAAATGACTGAAACTGAGATATCCAGAAGAGACATGGCACGTGGAACTAGAGCAATCTATCCCAGTTTGGTTTGAAATTTCAATCACTTGAAGAAATAGTCACTAAGTAGGCTGGAGCATACACAACAGCTGAAATCATGAATATGGCAATAAAGATAAGGACAATGGTCTGAACAATAGTCCTCATCTTTGTTGTTATAATCACAATGTTTCAGTCTTTATGTCCTTCGGCTCTCTTCAATCTAAGTAATCTTCAGGGAATTTTTAGTTGAACTTTTTATTTAATCTATGGAGGTAGATTTTTCTTGTTTTACTGTCCATGTAGATATCTCTTCTTGTTCACTTTAATTCTGCTCAGTTATTGTTCACCATGCTTCAATCGACATCTATACTATTCGATTTAAGGATCCAAGAATTGTTATAATCGTGTACTTCAGAATTATCCTAGAGAGACCAACCCAGTAAATTATAGCATATTTTTTTTTATTTTTGTTAATATCATTTCAACACCAACAAGGCAATAAAGCCACTAAGACACAAGGATTACAGAGTCTGAAAGAATATATGAAAAGGAGAAACATTATTATGGAGCAAGAATAATAAAAGAACAAGAATTAATGTTGAAGCTTAAATAAGCATGGAATAATACAACACAAAATGTACGTTAACAAAATGTATTGAAACAAGGAATAGGTACACAATATTTACAGTTAGTTTGGTATATTCTTGGGAAGACTGTTCCTGCATAATGGGTTGACTAAATCGCAGTCGGGCAGAGTCTCTGGATTCAATTTCTTAATCTCTACTATCTTCCCCGTCTTCCGGTACCAACCCATATTTATATGGTCGGTAGTCCGCTTATGTAAATTAGGTGTATCATACACAACAATTAAGAAGATAGAAGATAATAACTGACATTGCATTTAAATTTTTGATGATAAAAATTGACTGCGAAGAAGTCAGAAGAGAATTCCAAAAAAGAGAAGTGCAGTAGAAGAAACTGTTAGCATAGAACTTACAGTTTCATCTAGCAGCCAATTCAACGGTAAGATGATGAGACCTTACTACCAATCTAGTACTGCGCTTAAATTCATAAAGTCTAGGTACCATAGAGGAACGTTCTTCAGAACAATTACCATGATATTATTTATAGAAAAAGCAGAGGGAAACTATTATTGTGGTGGGAAAGTGACTGAAGCTGAGATGCCAAGTCAGGACCAATAACATTGTGGATTCTTTGGATTTCTAAAATTCTTTGAATGTCTAAATATATAGCAGGAGCACCAGACCAGATGTGGAAGCTATATTCAAAGCATGGATGAATGATAGACTTATAAATATGTAAGATAGATTCAGTTAAGAAAAATTGTCTAGCACAACACAGTGAACCTACTTTTCTAGCAGCAGGCCTAGCAATTGATTCAATATAATCGTTCCACTTCATGTCAGCAGTTAACCTGAGAAGCCTCAATGTGTCACTTTCCTGAAGGTTAGCATCAGCCATGCTGATGGAAAACAGAAAGGGGTCTCTCAGATGATTAAGAGAGTAATTTTGTTTTGGAGGTGTCAAAATTAACAAGCCATTCCTAGCAGCATAATGATTGAGTTCAATCCCTGGGCTATAGGTAGTACAAACTCAAACTCGGTGGAAATAACTGATAGAATTAAAAAAAAAAATTACACACTATCATGGCTCTTCACAACTTCCTATCCTTCATAGATCTATGATTGTCTCCTTATTATTCCTCTTTTTGCTTTGCCAATCATTGATACATTTACTCGTTAAGTAGGTTACTTGGTGTTTTCCCTCAGCTCCTCTTGCCTTCAGTATGTCCTGCGAGTGTCAAATTCTCCAAACCTTCTTTTCTCATTATGAAATTTAGAAATATCAACTATCTCTTTCTGATGCTCAGTGTTTTTTTTCTTCTCAAATCTGGACTGTAGGCAGATGGTTTTGCTAAAAAATACCAGCACAATATGTGAAGAATAGGCAGGCTCATTGTCCTGATGAATGCAACTGTTACAAAGTAGATTCACTGCCTCTCACTTCTGAGTAACCCCAGGGAGGGTGTCTGTTAATGCAGTGTAATTCTTTTTGATTGATTACCTAGTTATATCAAGGCCTCACAACTGATATTCAAAATTGCTGGATTTTTTTCATTCTGTATTTGTTTATATTTTATGTCAATATATATGCAATAAAACCATAAAGTTAAACAAAAGAATTATTTATTTAATAGAATTATAATATCACTTAGTAATAAAAATAGGATTATTTTAAGAAACAAAGAAAAATGTGTTGAACTGCTATGTAATATCTAATCTCTTATATGGCAGTGAATACTGGACAATGTTCTCAAATATACAGAAGAGATCTCAAGCAACAGTGTTGTCATTTTAGTAATACCATGGAAAGAACATGCCAACAATGAGGAAGTCAACAAAAATAGGAACAAGAAAACTTACACTCAGAAAGAAGCAGTTGACATGGGCTCATAATGTGGGAAGAGGGCTTAGAGAATTTAACACTCACAGGACATATTGAATGCAAGAAAAATGGTGAAATCATGCCTAATGAATTTGTATGACTGGAGGGAAAAGAATGGGTAAAGATGTAGAGTAAGGTGTCTTATGTAGAGTAAGCTTACTTAGGGTAACAAAAAATTTGAGGGAGTTATAGTCACCCACATCCTGAAGAATAATGAGATGGGTGTTTTGAAGAATTCATTCTAATCTTGGAGTTTTGTTTAAAGCTACAATTTCAACAGATTTTGTTATTTATAAAATTGAAATGAGTCTGATGAGGGTCTTATTTTTGAGAAGTTTTGCTGATAGACTTCAAACTGATTACAACTGGTTTTAAAAATTAGAAGTTTTGCTGATAGACTTCAAACTGATTACAACTGGTTTTAAAAATTAGAAGTTTTGCTGATAGACTTCAAACTGATTACAACTGGTTTTAAAAATTAGAAGTTTTGCTGATAGACTTCAAACTGATTACAACTGGTTTTAAAAATTAGAAGTTCTGATTATCTTAATGATAGGTTAACAGAAGAACTATTTTAAACTAATGGAGAATACAAAATATATTGCTTTACTGTAAACATTAGAAAACCGTTCTTATTGAAAAGCTGTTTAATACAAGTGTTCTTCCCTGGGAAATTTTAACACTTAGATTTGCTTTTAAAATTAACTGTTAATATTTTCATATGCATTAGGAAAAAATACTGAATCACTTAGAGATAGAAATAAGTTATTTTTAGTTTCAACATATTTACCCAAGGCTATTGAATAAAGCTAAAAATTCAACCAATACACTACTTTTTTTTTTCTTTTTTTTTAGTTTGTTTTTGGTATCTATTTTTTATTTTTCAGTTGTCTAGCATACACAATTAGTTCTCAGCTTATTTTTCTATAATACTTTTAGTTTTTAAATGCTAACCTCCAGAAGAGTGATTCATTGTACTTTCTCAGGCTAATGTTTCCCACTAACATGAAGTGGAAAAATTATATTCAATCAGTTCTTAGGGCTGTTGCTAGGAAAGTTGGATCACTGTATTTTCTTAGACAATTTTTCTCTCCATAAGCTATTTTACACATTTATAAGTCTACCATTCATACATGCATCAAATATTGTTGCCGCATCTGTATCTGGTCTAGTGCTTTTGCTATTTATTTAGAGATTCTTGATAAAATACAAAGAATCTGCAATGTTAGCGGGCCTGACCTGACATCTCGGTTAAAGTCCCTTTTCTACCACCATAATGTAGTTTCTAGTCTAGGGTTAACTGTTATCTTTCATATATAACCTCATGAGCTGCACTTAAACTCTGGATTACAACCACATCACGTTGAAACACCAGTCCCCATATGTTCATCAAAGTTAAGCAACATTGAGCTTGGTCAGTACTTAGATGAGTGACTGCTTCAGAATACTCGGTGCTGTAAGCTTAGATGTGTGGTTGGTGTAATGGATAATGGCTGGAATTATTAATCAGAAAGCCAAGTTCCAGTTCCTGTTGGGTTTGTTATATTCCTTTACACACTAATGCCCTTGGGAAAGGTATGAACCACCCTTTTCTTCCCTCAGCTATGGGTTAATTAGTAAGACATCTATCACTAAATTATTATTATCTCCCCAAAAAACGTTCTTACAATCTAAAAATATTTTCTGATTTTAAATAACCTAAAAAAGGGTTGATAACCTGTAAAAAATGAATCAATCAATCAATCAATGAAATGCTGATTCACTACACAGGCATATCTTTTAGTATTTATTTACATTCTCAGTTATATAAATGTATAGAAACTACCGTGGTCACAAAGTGAGGGATCAGTTTATATATTGATCGTAATATAGAATTGATCCCCGACTTTATAGCCACATTATAATTTCTCATTTATCAAATTCGGCTTAGGTATGAATCCACCTCTTTTACTCCCCCTATGGGTTAAATAATAAGATTTGTATCATTAAACCATTATTATCTCAAAAGAAAAAAATTCTTACAATCTAAAAATATTTTCTGGCTTTAAATAACCTGTAAAGTGTTGATAAGCTGTAAAAAACAAATCAATCAATCAATGAAATACTGATTTGCTACACAGTCATGTCTTTTAGATTTACTTACATTCTCTGGAATATGAATGTATAGAAACTATTGTAGCCATAAAATGAGGGGTCAGTTTATATATTAATTGTAATATAGAATTGATCCCCACTTTATAGCCACATTATAAAAAAAAAACTTACAATCTAAAAATATTTTCTGGCTTTAAATAACCTGCAAAAGGTTGATAAGCTGTAGAAAACTAATCAATCAATCACTTTCTTACATTCATACAACACCACACAGTAACCCTCTACTATGAGTGACTCTTGGGCCTTGTATTGAGTGAACATTAATATATTAAACATTTTTTTTTTAATTGCTTTCAATCTTTGTTGTCCATTCATGTATTTTTCATGTAAATATAGATTATATTCATCTGTGAAAAAAGAAATAATGTATAATTGTTTTCTCCTGCACCTACTCTTTTGTTGTTCTTTTGTGTTGTCTCGTCATTGTAAATTTTATGTATCACCATTTTTAGCTTTTCAATCTCTCAACTCTCAAACATTTATTCATTGTCTTTTGATATCCAGACAGTAAGTCTATCTAACTTTTTGTCATCTCTATCCTTCCCACATCTCTATTTATCTTTAGTTTCTTTCTTCCACCTGCTTTTCCAATTTTTTTTTCCATATTTCTTATATTTTATTCTTTCACACTCTCTTTCATCTCTGCCTTCTTCCTCTTTTTTTTAAAAAAATTCTTTTTTAATCAATTCACTCCAATCAAGGGGATAATGTCCCTAAAACACAAGGAACTACTGGGAGTGAAAGAGAATGAGAAAAAACTTTAGAAGGAACTGGAAACCCAATCCTAAACAGGAAACAAGGGATGAACCTCTACTCCTGTTCAAAAGAACGACAAGGAGGGCAAATCTATCTACTCCTATTGAGGAAAAAGTGTAAATAAATAGTAAATAACAGTTTTAGATGTAGACTTTAGGAGCATAGAGTTGAAGTAGACTTTAGAAGGAACCAGAAACCCAATCCTAAACCTCTACTCCTGTTCAAAAAACTGGAGAGGAGGGTAAACTGGGCAATAGGCAAACCTGTCGGCTCCTATTGAGGAAAATGAATAAATTCTAAATAAAGGTTTAATAGTTTCTGCTCTCCTTTCCCTTTCCCTCCAGTTTTTCTCCACTTAATTTTATGTAGGTTTCTTGGTCAGAAAGCCTGATTGATTCCAGTTAAGATGAACTGTAGATTAGACAGAAAAGCCTAATAATTGCACATATAAGCATGCATAATAACAGTATAAATTGAATTAATGAAGGCATACTTGGATCTTTGTGGCTCTATTGAAGGAATTTTATATTGTAGCATTAAGATAACAATCATTGTAAACAATGATAAACTGTAGCTTATAAAGTCACTCAAAAGTTAATTACCTGATTGTTATTCTCCATTAAGAAACTACAAGCTACACCAATAAAACTTTATATAAAGAAGATTTGAAAGGTTGTCGGCATCAGACTTCTCCTCATAATTCCCTTAATAAAAATTATTAGATAAAAGTATATTCCTGTGTGAGTCTGTGTTTTGTAATTGTCAATAACTTTAAGTTGGCATTGTTGTATCTACAATAACCAACCTGAGGATTGTATGCCAAGAATTTATTTTTGGGATTTTTCTTTCTCCCCATTGGCCTCGTCTTATCAAATACTTTTGGTTATTTTTAAATTTATTATTGGAATCGGAATTTTTGTTTCCTTTATCTTTTCTTTTGCTGTTGTCCACACCTGGGAATAAGAAATCATTTGTTCAAAAATAGTAATTTCAATTATTCAATAGAAATGTTTATTGCTCAGAATTCAATTTCCTTTTCCTACTGGTAAGGGATGTAATGATGGTAAATATGTCATCAAACAAATCCAGGAAATTGCATACCCCTCTAATAGGAAATTGTGTACCTCTTTAATAGGAAATTGTACGACTCTCTAATAAGAAATTGTGTACCTCTCTAATAGGAAATTGTGTACCTCTCTAATGGGAAATTGTGTGCCTCCCTAATAGGAAATTGCATACTGCTCTAATAGGAAATTGTATACCTGTTTTGTTGACCTCACAACAGCATATGGCCATATCAATAGATACTTCCTCTTCTCATCCATTAGAAAATGCCTTCAAAGTTCAGAATCCACTGAATGCATCAATCTCTTAGAGGAACTTTACCTGTCCATAAAATTGTACATGTTAAGTAAGGACTCCAATACAGAAACATTTCAAACTTTATCAGTAATACACCAAGAATGAAACGAGAGCCCCATTCACATTCACTAACACAGATTTAAAGAAATGGGAAGCATGTCATACCACATCACAAATGAATCAACTAATATAAGACTGTGATCCTGCTTTCCCTCCAAAGACCAGTTTACTGATGATGATGAGGACTGATGACATAGGTATTTATAGGTGTGATAAGAATTATCTTGAACAAAAAAAAATGAATATCCTTTACCAAGTGTTCCAAAAAATTGGGCCTAAAATAAACCAAATTTCCAAAATAGAAATAATGATCAGGAATTGGAATGAAAGCAGTGATGATATCTACACTGAATCAAGAAGGGTAGACTGAACTCTGTTGCCTTGAGTGGCAATCAGTGTAAGAGAAGGAAAAATTAAAATTCAAAACCACAGAGAAGTAAACAAAGAAACTATTCTACTATCTTTCTTAAGAAGTCATTGCAATTCACAGAAAATAATAGCAAATAGGTTCAGCTTTCGTCAGGTTCACACTCCTCCCTGATCCTTTGTTTCCTATTTAGAATTGGGTTTTCTGTTCTTTCAAAAGTCTTTATAATTCTCTTTCACTCCCAGTAGCAACTTGCATTTCTTTTTTATAATCCAATTCACCCCATGTAAGGCAGTAATGCCACTAAGACACAAGAGGCTAGTGAGTGTGAAAGTGTTAGAAAACAGAACCATTATTAAGGTGCAAGAACAATAGAAGAGTAATCAGGAAGACAGTAGATAATGATTGACATTCCATTTAAATTTTTGAGGATCAAAGTTGGCTGGAAAGTATAGAACTGAAAGAGTGTTCTATGTGTAAGAATAGAAACTGTTAGCTTAGAATTTATGGTTACATCTCACCTATTCAACTGTAGATTGATGAGACCTAGCTGCCAATCTAGTACTGCGCTTAAATTCATAAAGTCTACATACCATAGAGAAAAGTTCATCAGAACAATTACAATGAAAGTATTTATAGAAAAGGCACACAGAAGCAACTTTACGGTTGAGGGAAAGTGACTGAAGCCAAGATGCCAGGTCAGGACAAATGATATTGCTGATTCTTTTTTGTCTGTAGTGGCATTATTGCCTTGCTTGGGGTAAATTGATTAAAAAATAAATACCAATAAAAAAAAAGAAAAACATGCAGAGATTTGTGGCTGCTAACATCCTGAAGGGATATGGTATTTTATCACAACCATTAAAGCTCAGTCTGCCCTACTATTTAACCCATAGCTGGAGGAAGATGGAGTCATGCCTATTCCAAGGGCATTAGTGTGAATTGAACAAAATTGAATTGACTGGCAATTGAAATTGGCATGCCAGTTTAACTTTCAGTATTGATAATGTTATGCTATTCACACCTCCTCCTCCTCCTCCTTTGAGCATGTGGTTGTGTGGTTAGAACATTTGCTTTCCAACTATGAGACCCAGGTTCAAATCACACCATGGTCAATTTGTCAGGTAGGTGACTTTGGAAAGTGCCTGAAAATCATACCACAGTTTGACCCAAGCCATGTGAGTGAAATTGAGTAGACAGAACTATTTGGGAGCTGTTGATGTTAGCATGAAGTCACAAGTCATCGTGACTGAGGGTTTAAGTATACTGGCCTTGTTCAGACTGATGATCATGCCAGATAATATGTATTTTCTCAGAAACTTTAATTCACTTAGCATAGTTGCAGTATAAATGACAGGTGGGCTCTGTGGGTGTTTAACAGACACAAATGTGCCTGAGCAGGCGTCTGCAACAGGGATTGGCTAGCAGCCCTTGTAGACAGGTCTACTCGGATATGTGTGGCCAGCCAACATATTCTTAACACCTCCACATGGCACTTGAAAAGAAGGAAATTTTGTAAATTGAAGTCCAGCAGAAAATGACCTTTCATGTAATTTTTCAGGAGAGAAACAGTGCTCGTCTAAGGAGAGTCTAATGATTTGCTTTGGCATATCTCAACAACGTTTGACATATTGCCAATACAACACTTGTGGTTTGCTATTTTTACCCGAACCGTACAGGTCCTATTGGTGATTATATTTCATTAGGTTAGGTCTCAGATTTGTCATTAATGTCAGTGCAGTTTGTTCAATTTGAATTGATGTTTCCAAAAAGATGTTCTTTAGAATAGAATTATGGAAAGTAAAAAGTGCTTCAGAATTTTCTTATTAGTTCAGTTCTCGTCTACATAGGGATGTGCTTGTAGTGTAGTAATTATTGATGCAAGCAGTAGGATTGGCATGCTGAGTTTAAATTTCAGCTGATGACTTTGTGTTTGCTTTTGCCCCAAAATCCTTGGGATCCACCTCTTCTTTCTCCAGCTATGGGTTAAACAGCAGATATGACAGATTTATAGCCTTGGTTGGCAACCAGCCGAAGAGGAGGACAACTCAGAATTCAAAACCAGACTGAAGACGGATGAGCTCCATCTAGTCAACTTGCTTAGGCACATTCACTGCTGCTATGGCTGCAGTACATGTGGTGTCCCAATGAACCTAATATATAATATATATATATATATGCTTGTATCTTTCAATACACAACTGATGAGGCACATTTTTTCCCGCAGTTTCTTTCTGCGGTAGACCTATTATCATAATAATCAAGGAGGTTTCAGTCTGGGGAGTTAGGTGGCCAGATGTAAGAGGTTATGTGGTCACAGAAATTGTCTGATAGCCATGACTAGGTTTTCCTGCTTGCATGGCATGGTGCAGAGTCCTATTGCCAGGCACAAAGATTTGTCCTATACAAGGCCCAGGATAAGATAGAGTATTATGTTAAGGGGTTGTTTTTATGGATAGGAGAAGATAACAGTTAACTCTAGACTTGAACAGGTTAAGATTCTATTGATCATATATATATATATATATATATATATATATATATATATATATATATATATATATATATCAACTATTCAAGATGTATTATTATTTCATTGCAATTTAATACAGTAGATATGGATGACATTATGGTTACTTATGCAGAAAATGGAATCAGAGTAACAAGTTTCTAATTCCAACTAAGGTTGTTTACTTTGAATTACTGCCCTCTGGGAGAGCCATGAATTCTATAACAAACTCAACCATGAATAAAATACATGGACTGGCAGGGCTCTCAGATTAAGGTAAACAACTCAATTAGAAAGACAAATATAAATTCAGCCTGATTAGAGATGGACTTCAGCAGATTATCTTGTCATAGACACACGCCTGTTGCAGCTGCAATACATCTGTTTTCCCAATGACCTTACTGCAAGTTATGTAATTTAAAAAAAATTAATACAATATTTTTATCAGCTTCAAGCTATGGTTTTCCTAAGTTATTTTACATAAATTGTTGATTGGTGAGTGAAATGTTGATTATGGGTTTAAATGTGATGGCTTAGATGATATACTGGTTATTACAAACAGAAAGAGAATGATTTGAGAAGCAATCATGTTTTTTGTTCAGCGATTTTTTTTTATTTTTTTATTTTTAGCTACAATTAGGATATTAGTGGTTTCACTCTTTACTTTTAATTCGTTTTGGTATTTGATAAGTGGACACATCACTCAGATAATTGTTAATGAAATTGTTAAAGATCAATATGTTAAGTTCAATATTCTTATTTGGGATTATGTCAGGGAAGAACTTTTTCTATTAAAGAAGATTTAGTCACTGTGGAGGTCTCCAGTTTGTTTAAATTTAACTAAAAATGTCATGGGGTGCATGAGTGATAAACATATTTTATTCATGGCGAGCAATACCTTCTAAGTGATAAGTAAATGTAAAATCTACTAATAATTTAGTCAATATTGCCTTTTACCTTATGATTTTTAGAAAATCTTATTTAGTTGAATATCTTCTATATGCCATGTCCCTTCAGAACGTTACTGATCACAGCTCTCCACAATTTCCTCTCCTTTGTAGCTCTTAATAAATTTTGTCTTTTTGTTATCTCTCTTAAACCTTGTTCCACCATCCATTTAATCAAGCTCATTCTTCTTCTTCTATGTGCCATGTCCCTTCAGAACGTTACTGATCACAGCTCTCCACAATTTCCTCTCCTTTGTAGCTCTTAATAAATTTTGTTAATCATGGCAATATCACGGTAAAACACCAGTTCTTATATGATCACCAAAGTTAAGCAATGTTGAGCCTAGTCAGTACCTAGATGAGTAACCGTTTGGGAGTACCAGGTGCTGTAAGCTTGGATGTGTGGATGGTGTAAGGGATAACTACTCAGAATTGGAAATCAGTGAGATGAGTTCCAATTCCAGCTGGGTTTGTAATATTCACTTATGTAGAAATATCCTTGGAAAAGATATGAAACCATCTCTTCTCCCCCAGCTATGGGTTAATTAGTAGGAATTGTATCAGTAAATCATTATCTCAAAAATAATTCTTATAAACTAAAAATATTTTCTGGATTTAAATAACCTGCAAAAGCTGTAAAAAAAACCAACAAATCCATCAATCAATCTAAATATTGTTCCATGATCCATTTACTCAAGCTCATTAGTGAGGTTGAGTTGTTTTCCTCTGTATTTCCTGCCTTAAATCTGTCCTGTGAGTATCAGATTTTCCAAGCCCACTTTCCTTATTATGTGCTCCAGAAACTTCAACAATCTCTTCCTGATGTTAAGTATCTTTTTTGTTTCCATTTCTCTAATGAAGCTTTAATAAAAGTGAAACCTGTTAAAATTATAAATGTTTCCTATTTGTTTCTTATCCTATCTAGTCCTGGATATGACAATAAACTACATCTGGCAGCAAGGCCTCTGATCAGGAGATTGGAGGTTTTTAGGAGAGTGGAACCAGCTTAGAAAACAGCATTGATAATTTTGAAGAAATAACTTTGAATTCTTCGATTCACTCCATGGAACTTCAAAATTTCACTTTAACTCTAATTTGGACTATAAGTCCAATTCTGGCCATAAAACTGATTTGGTCCAAAACTTTGATTTGGGCTGAAATTCCAATTCAGGTTGAAAATTGAGTTTGTGAAATCATAAACTCTGCAGAACTTCAAAACCTCACATCATAAAATGTTTAACTCTGATTCCTTGGCATTTTGAAGAAATAAAACTAATTTCCTCAATTCACAAAGTTTTGGAGATATTTTAAACTGAATTTAAAAGAAATTTAATTTTTAAAATTCATAAAGTTTTTGTGTTATTTTAAACTCAATATAAATTAAAAACTTTTAAAATCACTAATTTTTTTCAGTTATTTTAAAATTTGAATTTTTAATTGTTTTCTCTTCATCCAGACACACATCCCAATGCTGGATGTTCAAGCATCAAATGATGGGCAGATTTTTCAATGCCGGCATCATTCCAAAAAGATATAAAATATGTGTATGTAGATCAAGTGCGGCTTGAGTTAGAGGGGTTTCAGGCACATAGATGTACAGATAGAATTTGCCGTTTATTTATTTCGAAGATATGTGAGCTTAAAGTTGTTTTCCTGATTTTTTTTCTCCTCTTTATGATTTTGAGTCACACACGAATTGCATCATTTCTTTCAGAAGAAATGTTTTTTTTTTATATTTACTTTTAATTTAACTTTGCTTATTCACTGAATATTCTGTGTGCCTGCGTGCGATTATGAATCTGAAGAAATCATTAGTTTCACTTCAATTAACCTTTTGCCGTATTCAGCCCAAAATATTTTGGATAATAAAAAATTAAAAGAAAAAAAAGACAAGCCTTAATCTGACTTCCTCTTTATGATTCGTAAAAGCCATATTTTCATACACTTATTGATAACTGATGAGGTACTCCAAAATGACTGACATTATATGACTAACTTCCAGTTACAATCCCCCCAAAAAAAAATTGATGGATGTTAGGGTTGCATGACAGTTATTTGTGTAGAAAGTGAAACTGGTGAGCCAAGTTCAAATTCTAGTTTTTAGTGTTTGATCTCCTTGCCCATAGCTATGGATTAAATAGTAAGACTTGTATCTGGAAAAATCATTGTCTTTCTCCCCCAAAAATGTTAATTAATTCACTCCAAAAAAAAAAAAAAAACCCCAAAAAACAATTATTCTTACAATCCAAAATATGCTTCAGCTTTAAATAACCCACAAAGGGTTGATAAATAGTAAAAAAAAAAAAACAAAAACAAACTGATCAAATCAATCAGTCGCAGTGTTCACTTTTGTATTAACTTTTATCACTCTGTATGTGACTTCATTTGCTATACAAAAAGTTAACCCTGCCACTCAAGATGACTGATCCCTGAAGAATAGTGTGTTTGAATTTCATGGTTGTGCTGTTGTATCCTGCTATGGCAACAGAAAACAACTTTGAATGAAATTAACAATAAGGATACTGCAATTGAAAAGAATGAAGTGTGATATACTAATAATGCAGAGCGCTAAAGGTTAATGCCTTTTTGGAAAAGGCATAAATCCATATCTTCTCTCCAAAACCACCACCAACTATAGATTAAATAACAAGGTAGACTGTATTTTGTAGTCTTGAATGACAGCCAGTCTAAATTCTCATATCTGAAATGATAGTGAAAATTTTAACACTAAATTCCTCAAACTGAAATAAATTACAGGGAACCACAAAAATGTGAATTTTGGCTAACAATGAACTTTGATAACATAATTATAAAAGGAATACTCTGATTTTCAAACTATAGAGAATGCAACAGGAAACCACTCCACAATCTTTCCAAAGACATAGCAATTCACAGATATTAAAGAAGGAATTTGTCGACAGCTATTATCATCTACATCTTTAAGGGGCATGACATCTATCTATCTATCTATCTATCTATCTATCTATCTATCTATCTATCTATCTATACACACACACACACACACACATATATATTCAGTTGTATGGATATGAGTTTGTGACCCTGGGTTTGTCTGATCACAAAAGCGTGAAACCCAGGACCACAAGCTCACATCCATACAACTGAATATTTTAACACTATCACTGATATTGAGCACTTTCCAATAAGTACTGCACATATAAAATAATAACAATAATAATAATATATATATATACAGTAGCGGCCATAATATAAGGAACGGAAACAACAAAGACATAAATATGTTTATTACTTAAAAAGTAATGCACGATTAGCAATTAAATTTTTACCGAATAAAGATTAGGGTGTAATGCATAAATATTATACAAAGTTACAAGAATTTACATAATAGTTTTTTTTTTAAATAAAGATTAAATGGAACAAAGGAAATAAGCTACTGGACAAAAGTTAAGGAACGATGTTAATAATTTGCATAAACTTTTAATTTACATTGTTAAAAAACTCGAGGGAGCTTTTTAACAATAAAGTTCATATATCATTAGGACTATTTTTAAGCAATATGGCAAATTCTACACACAAAACGCTCTCTTTTGAAGGAAAAAAACTCATTACCACTATCAAGAAAAAAAGTCAATTTCAGAAAATTCTGATATTGTTCATAGGTCTAAAAGTGTTGTTCATCATGTAATTAGCAGGTATAAAACCGATAAAACGTTAGATGCAAAACCAAGAACCGGCAGACCTCCAAAAACATCACAAAGAGAAGATCAAAGAAATGTTAGAATATCTACAAAAAACTGTTTTGAAACTGCTACATAATTGCCCATAAATTTAATGAAGAGACAGATAAGATCTCAAGGAAAACGGTTGCTCACAAGTTAAAAAATGCAAGATTGCATGCCCATATTCCAGCTTCAAAGCCTCTCATTTCAAAGCGAAACCAAAGTGCACGCCTGGAGTATGCGAGAGAACATGTTGTTTGGACTGACGCACAATGGGATACAGTTCATTTCAGTGACGAGTCCAAGTTTACTATATTTGGTTCTGAGGGCAAAACTTACATACGCCATAGAACAGGTGTAAGACTGTCTTCTCAATGTGTCAAGAAAACCGTTAAGTTTGGTGGCGGCAGTGTGATGGTGCAGGGAATGATTTCATCTGCAGGAGTTGGCCCTATCATCCGCGTACATGGCAACATCAATGCTGAGATTTACAAAAGGCTACTTCAGCAGCATGTGCTACCAAGATTACACCATAATCTTTATGAATCTCCTATTTTCATGCAGGACAATGCACCTTGTCACAAGGCTCAGAAGGTTATGGCTTTATTTGAAGAAGGAATCGCCCTAATGAAGTGGCCAGCCCAGAGCTCCGACCTGAATCCAATAGAAAATGTTTGGAAGATAATTGGAGAAAGGGCACAGAAAAGAAACCCGAAAAACCAGGATCACCTATGGGAGTTATTGAAAGACGAATAGGAGGGAATTACTGCTGATTTTTGCAAGAAATTAATTAGATCATGTGGTCGATGATGCAGAGAAGTCATTGAAAATACGGGGATGTTTACCAAATATTAAATTTTGTTGATATTTTGTTCACAATCAAGTATTAACAAGATCGTTCCTTAACTTTTGTCCAGTAGCTTATTTCCTTTGTTCCATTTAATATTTATTTAAAAAAAAACTATTATGTAAATTTTTGTAACTTTGTATAATATTTATGCATTACACCCTAATCTTTATTCGGTAAAAATTTCATTGCTAATCATGCATTACTTTTTAAGTAATACACATATTTATGTCTTTGTTGTTTCCATTCCTTATATTATGGCCGCTACTGTATGTGTGTATATATATATATATATATAATTCTGTGACTTCCATTAGTCTCTCCATCTGTCACACCTGTTAAAATAGCCATACATTGACTGATTGAAACCAAATTTTGGGAATAAGTGCAAACAGGTAAGGTGGTAAAAAGTAGAGTTGGTTTTATTAGGCTGCATAGCTTAGTACAATAAATTTTCATTCATTTTTTTGGAAAAATTGAAAGTTTTATTATTTAGCATACAAAATAGTCCTATTTTTAAAACAATTTAATGATTAAAATAACAAATATTTATTTAAGAAAAATTCAATATTGGTTTTTGGATATCTTAAGTTTTTATATTTCATTGATTAGTTTGCAAAATTGAATGAAACGTAGAGTTTGTAAATCTTGACAAAAAATCTTAGCAATAACTTTAACAACTATGAGGGTTTCAACACACATCAGTGTGTTGCAAAAAATTCTAGTATAAAAAAAATAGAAAAATTACATTTATTTTTTTATTGTTTTTTACTTTTTTTTATTTTTGTTTTAGTGTAAATTGAAAAACCACACAAGTCATTAATTTTGAGACGTCTTTCATCTAA